GTACTTTTACTCAAGTATGGAAAGTGAGTACTTATGCCATCTCTGGTGAGCAGGTACGTTAAATGAAGTTGTGGAGATCAGAATTCAGAACTGATACACAGACATTAAAGAGATTTTCAAGGCTTTTGATGATATGCTGGTGAAGATACTCTGTCTTCCAGGTCATTGTCATTCTAAAAAAGTAAACAAAAAACTTATGGACAAAGGACATTCTTTTGAGGAGCAGAATGTTCACATTTTGAACAAATAAGTCAGGTGGTTTGAGAGGAGCGTGAAGGAAGCCATCTATGTTAAGNGGTTTTCCCCTGATGTCACCTTGGTTCTGGTTCGTTAGTTATTTTGTTGGATTTTTGTTTCCTGCCTCAGTGCCTGAGAACCTTATTAAACCACTTAAATTCACCTCTACCAACTCGTCTCTGCATTTGGGTCCTCCTCAACAAACACCATTTTCCTGACAAAATCTAAGAAGTAGATGAAATCTCAATTACTTTTAAAATGATTTTGTACTGATATTGTAAACTAAGCTTTATATAAGGGGAATTGTTCATATAAACAGTGTCTACATTAAATTTCTTTTCAATACTTGGAGGTAGATTTAAAGGTTCTTTTTTTAAGAAAACCTAAGTGTTTCCGCTACGTCAACCACAAAACAAGAAAATGGCTTCTTTTAAAAAATAAAACAAAAATTGTAGGAAAAAAAGCAGTTTTCCTTTGTCCTGGATAAAGCATGAAATTATTTTTGGTGACTCCCCCAGCAGTGGCGGTTCTAAGAAATTATTTCTGGGGTGGCCAAGGGTTGGCTAAAGGATTTTCAGAGGTGGCCAGATTAGCCTGGTGCTAACCAGTGACAGTTCCAGAAAACTTTCAAAAGGGTTGTCATGCAGGGGCCAAAGTGTACGATGGAGTATTAGGGCCAGGCTACAGATTAAAAAAATATATATATATTTTGAGAATAAATTCGTAAAATTACGAGAATAAATTCATAATATTTTTTTTCCTAGAGTCTTGTAAATTAAAATGCAAACAATGCTTTATTTTACTCTTAAGTGTTAGGAATCCAGTGTGTGTGGCCTGTGTTTGTTTTTGTGTTTTCTCCCTCCACCACCAGGTGGCGCCCTGTTCTCATTGGTCCTCCCACACACCTGTGGCTGGTTGTGCTCATTACTGCGGTGGGCTGCCACTACCTCGTCGCCAGAGAGTCAGTTTTGGGTACTCTAGCCAAGCTGAGTTTAGCTTAAACTATCCGAGTCTTTGTCTCTGAGTTCTAACCTTGTTTTTGTCTTTACCTTCCTGCAGGAAGTCATCCTGCAAACTGGATTTTTTGGCCTTCTCCCCATGGAAGGATGGTTTTGAGCTTCACACTGAGCAGGGGATTCATCTCCACACGACCCGTTCAAGTTCTCCTGGAAATCTTAGTGGCAGTCCGCTCCATTGCTCCTCAAGGAACCAACCAAACCAAAGACCTGTCCGCCCTCCAACGAGCCCCCCAATCTCTGAAAAAACCCACATCGACTGGATTCTGGGAAGAGAACCATTTTCTGCTAACGTGAGTCCCGTTCATCTCGGATTTTTGTGTTTAAGTTCCCACAGACCCTGAACTAACCTCTGAACTTCCCTTCTCACTTCCAGTTCCAGTTCACCAGCTCTCTGAGTTACCCTGGATCAACCTTATTGATTATTTCAATAAACCTGTTAAACTTTTACTCTGGTTCTCTGAGTGGTTTCCTGCATGTGGGTCAGATCTCTTAGAACATCATGACGTTAAGGGAAAAGTCATTTTCATTTAAATCAACTACAGTATATCTAAATTGTTTAATCTTCTTACCTGTAGCAGTTGTTGTTGAATTTGTTGTAGCTTCCCAAAGCCGGCAAAACACCGACGCAGACAGCGTAGGAGAACAAGATCTGGCTTCCAGCATCCATCCACACCTTGGAACAGTAAGATGACCAGTTATCATTTATACCTTAATGATAATATCCACCTAAGCACCAATATGACGATGTCACA